GGGTGTAGGACTTTAGGGTTTAGGGTTTTAGGGTTTAGGGTTTTGGGGTTTAGGGTTTTAGGGTTTAGGGTTTTAGGGTTTAGGGTTTACAGCTTCGGGTTTCAGGCTTGAGGGTTGAAGGTGGAGCCCAGGTTTGGGAGTTTAGGGTTTAGGGGGTGGAGCTCGAATTTGGGCGTTCAGGTATTATTAGTTACTATTCACTATTCCTGAAGGTTTATAGTTTGCGGTTCCTGAATCATAAAATAGAAACTGCTATTATTTGGGGTTTAGGGTTTGGGTTCCTTAGCATTGAAATACTGTTCCTTGGCGTTTAGGGCTTGGGGTTCCCTAATATCAAATACCCCCCCGAAGCCGAAGTGCACGTCTTCCTCGGGGTTCGGCAGGCTTAAAGTGGCTTTGTAGGGGTGCCTTTAGGGGTCTACAAGGGTAACATAGGGGCCTTAGTAATTAGGAAAGGGTTTTGGGGCCCATCATACTCTGGTTATAACAAGGAACCCGCCAAATAGTAAAGGTGATTACTTAGGCCCCTACATTACTGCACATACGGGATACCCATACATACATACATACATACATACATACACATACATAGGTCTACAGATAGATAGGTAGAAAGACAGATAGGTAGGTAGACAGGTAGATAGGTCAATAGGTAGTTGGGTAGATAGGTAGATAGATAGGCGGATATAGAATTGAATGTACGTATGCATACGTGCATACATTTATGCACACACACACACGCGCACGCACGCACCATGCACACACACACACACACACACTGTGTAGGGTCAGGTAGCTAGTATTAGGCAGAGAGATAGACAGACAGTTAGAAGAATAGATGTAGGCTGATATAAACACAGATATAAGATAGACAGATAGAGCGATAGACCGAGGGATAGAGGCAAACGAAGATGTATGACTAGGAGGAGCTGCTATACTGATACGCCATACAAAAACACAAAAACACGTCTGAGCGTTTGTGGAGGACGCAGATGTGATAACTGGCTGGTTTACCTTTTCGAAACAAATGATTTTTTGACAGGGTATCATAGCCTCAAACAGACGACGGACGACGGTACTCACAGAAAGAAAGAGTAGATTCAAAGAGCGAAGAGCATAACAGCACTGCCCACACACAAATACAACGGTCAGGCATGAGCAACACTTGATCGTATGAGTATGACCGCAGTGAAGAAAGCCAGCCTCGGTGTAAAGCCTAGTGGTGCTTTTGAATGCTGCATTTTCGGCCCAACTAAAAGCCCGAACTCAGAGCTAAGAGCTCGCTTCTCCTCTTTTGCGCCATGGCAAACCTGTCAGCAGATCCACCGACGCTGAAGGCGCCCCTTGCGGCTAACGGCCGTGATGTGGAGCTGGCCGGCGTGGAGGTACTTAGCAGCGGAATTAGTTGTTAGGATATTCAAGCCCCCCGGACAAAGTCGGAGGTGGTACGTAGAGGATCAGGAGACTTCGTGTACGTAGGGTCATGACTCTAAGCTAGGTGGCTATACTTGTACCCTCTATTACATCGCTACGCTGTTGAAAGTCTGCTTATGAATGTCTGTTCGTTGCAAACGCGATTCTTCTCGTAGTACCGGTGCTTGCATTGATGGTTGTGCTCGGCATTCGTGTTTCCAATCTTGATGTTGTTGTTGGTCAAGGGTGGTGCCAGCAATCACATGAGCTAGTATCAACAGAGCAGGTAGTTTCACCCGACATTTCTTCCAAAGGAGAATACGGGAAGTGCAACAGGTTAATGTAGGGCTCAGCATAGTGATTGATATGAAGCGAAGCATTCCCTGATAGTCATGGTATAGGTATACTACGGTAGAGTAGTCTCACAAGTCCAACACTGGCCAAGCTGCCCGAGACAATAGCGTTCTGTCCAAATCCCGAGTGGGGATGTCTGCATTCTTGAATTTCTGTTTACCAAATGGGTAGCTCTCTAAATTAGAGCCCCTCTTAGGTTCTCAATATAGTACGGCACCCTTATAAGCAGGACCCTAATATGGACCCTAATCTAGAGAACTATTCTTAATATAATTATAGTATAATGGGCCACAAAACCCTATTGTAATTATTAAGGCCCGTACAGTAATAGAAGCTGTTGAGCTGTGTTGAACAGACTGGTGCACAATTCTTGAATCCCTTGACCCGCCCCCCTGAATCTCACATTTCTGCAGCCTAACCATGCCTAACCCCTACACCCTCAACCCTAAACCCCTAAGCCCCCAACCACATCCCTAAAGCCCCGAAGGCATCGCCTTCAAATAGCCAAGCACAGTGTCATTCAGAACCGTCGCTTCCCGATGACTGGAGGCGGCCGCTCGGCACGGTGTTAGGGTTTTGGGGCTTTATGGTTCAGGGGTTTAGGGCTTATGCGTTTGGTGCAGGGTTCAGGGTGTAGGGTTCAAGTTTAGGGGTTTAGAGTTGGGCTGTAGGGTTTAGGGTGTAGGGTTTAGGGCTTAGGGATTTTATGGTATGTTTGTACGGTGTCACAGTTAGAGTGCGATGGACTTTGTAGTGAGGGTGCGATGGATGTTGTAGGGTCGCGTGAGGGTCTTATTGGGTTTTCAGGGGTGTTTCACGGTTTCTATTGGGGGTTGAGTTTTGTTTTGGTTGTTCGGGTTTCGGGAGGGCGCTGTAGATCGCAAGAAATCTTACACTGCCCTAAACCCTAAGCCCTAAACCCTAAACCTTAAACGCCCATATTTAAGGTTTAGGGTTTAGGCGCCCATAATTTAGGGTTTAGGATTTAGGGTTTAGGGTTAAGGGTTTAGGGCATACGGCAAGGAATTTCTGGTAGGGGGAGTGGTAACGGCCTAGAGGGCACGCCAGAAATCGTAGCATAGGAGCCCGATCCACCCTCATTATCATCCGGACATATCGTGTCACACAATATAGGTTTAGGGTGTAGGGTCTAGAGTGGGTCTAGCGTCTTCGAGCTTGCTTTGTAGCCATATTGGGGTTGTTCTTCGGTTCCCTAAACCCTAAACTGCAAGCCATACCAGACCCTACAGCCCAAGGAAGAATATCCGGGCCAATATCGCTTTCCAATTCCTGATGTCCTTAGCCTGGGGAACTGCCATGGGACCCGTCTTCGACAAGCTCCACGGCTTTCAATGGAGGGTTTAGGGCACGGTCTTGAGGTTTGACAGCTTTTGGTCCAGGTGTTTGGGGATACATGCTTTTGGGTTTTAGGGTTTGTGTTTTGAGTTTCGCTGAGCTCTACGTAGCTTTACGTTTAAGACTTCTAGGGCTTTGAACGTTTTGCAAAGTCCATCGCCCATTATTCTGGCGATCCGAGGGGTCTGCGTAGCCCAAATAACGCAAGGGCGTAGACTTGGGATCGTAGGATTGTATTTTGCGGTGTCAGAGGCTTTAGGGTTTAGGGTTACTCCTCAGAGCATGCGTTTAGGGTTTAGGGTTTAGGGTTTAGGGTTTAGGGCGGCTGATGTATCGCACGATAGGCAGGATCAGTTCTCCAGCCTGCTGTGGAGATTTGATCTTTTGCCTCTCGCTGACACGCACGCCGACGACAGAAACAAACAACTCCAAAAGCCTATGCCCCGTCGTATCTGGATGTGGATACAACAAGGAATTATGAATCCTAAATTCCACTGGTCTCAGAGTTTGATGTTTAAACCGAACGAAGACCCCAAAACCAAGGTATCTTTTCCTGCTCGGATCTGGCCTGGCCAAAGGGCCACGCCTCATCCCGGCCATGCCTCTCGCTTGGTCTTCGGTCTAGTAGACCGTTTTGGTATCCTAGGGCTCAGAGCTGGCTGTGTCGCTTCGTTATTTGAGGGTTTAGGGTCTTATCTCGGCAAGCTGGCATGTAGAGCTTGCACAAGATGGTGCGTGTCAATCCCCTTAACCCTTAAGTAACTCTCAACACCGAATGCCAAAACCCTGAAATCCTCAAAACCCCCGAAGCCTTAAACCCCAAACGAGTCAAGCAGTAAACCCGAAAAATCAAGGCTTGGGTGGCTACGTTGCTGTTCATTGCTTCTTTCGGGTTCATAGGCCTCGGTTCCAGGGCTTGCGATTTGGGGTCTGTTAGTATTGCAGACTCCCTACTGAAGGGTCCTTATAGCGAGGATCCTATCAGCGCAGGGTCTACACTGCATCCCATCCGTTGTTGGTAATGTCTCGCTGGGTTGTTCTCCTCTTGTCATCCCTGCATTCCTCCAACTCCTCACCCGCTCCTCGTCCTTCTCCTGCTGTTCCACTTTACGCATTACTTTCTCACAACATCTATCATGTATCCTGGCCTTCATGATCTGTGTTAGCATGTGCATCGCCAGGCTCATGGGCAAAGTCGTGATCAGTATCGGGTCAAGACCAACACGATCACCAGAATTAACGTCAGCATGGTTTGTGCCAGCATCGCTAACATCACTATCATCACAGTGGCGGTGGCAATCATAACTATCTTCGCACCCAAAGTTCACAATTTATCATCCCCTCTACCTTCGTATCGTCACCGTTATGATCGTAAGCATCATCAGCATCCTCCTCCACATCACGGTCATCATCGTCGTCGTCATCATCATCATCACCATCATCATAATCTTCATCATCATCATCAGCATCATCATCATCATCATCATCATCATCATATCCACCGTGTTCATGCCGCATCCAAATACACACGGACAACTCACCTAACATGTGCGCTACACTTGCTGCAGCATCTGCCAACAAGTGCAAATTTATGCCCTAAACCCTAAGCCCTAAACCCCTAAATTGACAGTGTCCCAGGCATGCCAATTCCCTTGTCGGAGTGGCCGAGAGCGTCTCCGGTCTCACCAGGCACATGTGTCCAGGAGATAGGTTTGTGTTGGGGATGGGTGGATAGTGCACTTTCTCTCGTGAAGCATCTCGGATGTTCATGTAAACAGGGCCTGCAGCAACCTAAGGGGCCTTGACTAGACTATGTACATGTGTTGCAAGTAAACGTCCCCGTGCGAAGCCGTCATGCCACGTGTCAGCCTCGCCGTCGCCATCCCCGTCGGCTACATCGTCGATCGGCAGCCAAACAAGCGTGCCCGGCTGGCTCGAATGTCGAGTTCCTTGGCAGTGATATCCGTGCTCTCTGGATTCATCGCTGTCCTTACAGACGAACTGCTGATTCTCACGGTGATGCTGGTGAGCTTCGGTGCCTTCATGGAGCTAAGCTCCTCCGCGACAGATGCGATCTTTGCCGACAGTATTCCAGCTGGCGAGCGATCTGCCTACTATATCACCAAGTCGGTTCTCACCACCGTCGGTAGCGCATGCGGTCCGGGTATCTCTGCCTTGGGGCTTGCAATGCTGGGCGACAAGTGGCAGCCGTACCAGATCAAGATCCTCGGCTGCTTTGAAACCTCGCAGGGATCCGCTTGTATTGTATTGGATCTTACAATTTAGGGTTTGTATCTCTCCTCCGGAGCCAGTTTTTTGTCGTTCCGAATTGTGAGGATCGTGATCGTGGGGGGCTTGCTGCTCTTTATCCCCACTTTGCTCCCCCTTTTCGTCTTCCACGATCCAGTGCTCACGGAGCCATCGACCAGCGAGGACGCCTAAGGGTTTGGGGCTTCCTGCGATTATCTCGGCTTTGCTCATGTCGTTCCCGACCAACATGGAAGCCTTAGATTCATAATCATCGACGCTCTTTAGGTGGAGGCTGAAACCCTAAACCCTAAACCCTTAACCGGCCAAAGTCGTCAGCCTCAAACTCGAAACCCAAAACCATGACCAGGGTTTGGGGTCTATAGCCCCCAACCTGAACAAGGTGCATTCAACCAAAAAGCCGAAACCCACAACATTTCCCAAACCGTGAAGTCTAAAGCATCGTCAACCCTAAACTACGCACAGCCCCATGGTAGTTCCTTGTTGGGGTTCATAAATAGAATCCTATAGTAATCCCACAGGAACTACTATGGGGCCTATGGGTAAACCCTAAACCCTAAACCATCAGGGTTGTGCCTCCGCCGACGCAGCCGCACCAGTTGAGGAAGGCGCCTCCCCTCCTGTGGGGCCAAAAGTACCCTTTCAAAAGGCTTCCTTAAAGTTTAGGGTTTAGGTTTAGGGTTTAGGGTTTAAAGAGCTCCGAGGTCTATGAGTGTGCTACAGCGCTAAAAGGTTTAGGGTTATAGGTCCCCTGGTGATGCATGTTTGCTCTTTTCGTTTTGAGTTTCTTTATCGAAAGTGGATAGTCGAGCTGGGACACCCTTAACGATCATCTAGATAAGCTGATAAACGCTTGATCAATCAGAACCTCTAAACCCTGAACCCTAAACCCCATTCAGAAGCTGCTCTGATAGTCAGGTTCCGAAGCCCGAACTAGCACGATGGCATCCACGGCGCAAGAGGAGTCCGATTCACAAGTTGTGTAGCTGTTGTTCTCAGGGTTTTCGTGGTTGTACTTAGGACTCGAGTGTTGTTGAGTTCGGACTTTAGGAGTATACTTCGATCTTAGTGCGGTTTGCGCGTCGGGTTGACGGCATCGGGTTTTCAGTACATTAATCCTTAATCCTAAACTTTGCGTGCCTTTGATTTGTGTGTCCGACTGCTGTTGTCTTTTGGCTCATATCTTGTCTCTAAGAAAGCTCTGTATATTACGGTATATATCTATATATAGGTACGTTATGTATATATATATATATATGGAGATAGATAGACAATATATAGGTGTGTGTATATATGTGTGTGTATATATATATATATACGTATGTATAGAGATCCTTGGGGTCGGTTTAGGGTTTAGGGTATACCCTAAACCCTCAACCCATTTCGTTCTTTGTTCTGTGCGTGTGTGTAGAATGGATAGACTTAGATAGATGGAAAGATAGATGGATGCGTGATTGTGTGTGATACATTTAAAGGCTATGCAAGTTCAGCACCTGTGCACACAGTATGGGTAAGTATGTTATCGTGTCAGGGCATCGGCCATTTGGACGATTCAGAAAGACATAAACCCTAAACCCAAAACCCAAAACCCTAAACCCCAAACCCAAACTAAACCGGGGCATTTGTGCAGGCTTGCTCTCGTCAGTCCTTTGATGCGCCTGTTGCAACATGTACATGTACCATTGCGACCTCCCATCACGAGCTTTCATGGGATGTTGAAAGGCTGCAGCGCCTCCGACTGTCGCGGAAGCCCCAAGATGCTTGTGTCCCTTGGCTGTGGTTGTCTTCTTCCGGTTCTGATGCGCGTCGTGCTGCGCAGGCTCATGATCGCAATCATGACCACCCCTAACCCCCCCACGTGCCTACTATATAGGGTACCTCAGCCCCTACGGCCCCTATATAGTAGGTACCTGGAGGGTTAGGGCATAATTCTGGTTGTCACACTGGTATGGCTTTTGCTGATGATGGCGATGGTGATGATGTTGATGATGCTGACCAAGGCAGCCGCGGTGATCATGGCGACAGAGATGAGTGTGTTCATGGTGCTGTTGACCATGAGCATCATGACCGTTGATTATCATGGTGTTGATTGCGATTTTTTTGCGACCTTGATGACGAAGATAATTCGGATGATGACTGTGATGATAGTTATCATGATGGCAATTCGTATGCTGGTGAGGGTGGCAGTGATGGTGGCGATGCTGATGACAAGCTCGGATGGTGCTGGTGCCGGTGCCGCTGTCCGGTCTGGTGATTTTGACATTGCTGACAACAGGCAGCGATGTTTTGGGGGATGCTGGTGGTGTTGATCGTGCAGCGAAACGTGGTCGTTGTGACTTCGTGCACGGCTGAGGCTTCCGAAGTAAGCATGTGCCGGTGCTCTTGGCCCTTGCCGACTTCATCACCTGCATTGGTGCGGGGATGACAGTCAAGTTCTTCAACCTTTTCTTTATCCAGGAGTCCGCGCTACCAGGGTATAGGCAAATCAGTTAGGTCCGAAATGTTGCAAAGATCAAGCGTACGGCCCCACATCAGCTGGAGCTCTGCCTGCTTGCCTCTCTGTTGTTTTTTGAGTTTGAATGGTTTGAACCAGTTCTGATGGACTTGTCTATGCTCCGGAGTCCAGTCGTTATGATGTTGATTGGGATTTGTCCATGCGGTTCTGGCAAGTAAAGCTCTTGTGTAGCAGGGTTTCAGGACTCCGGATCAAGGTTAAAGGTCTGGTTTAGGGCTTCGGCTACCCATTCTGACTAGAAGTTTCGTGTGGTGCTGTCTCTTTTACTGTAACTAAGTACGCCGCACATGGTTTCGACTACAGCAAACTCTTTTGCACCGCAAAGCCCACACCCTGATAAAAGAGTCGGAATGATGAACAAAAACATACTAGAATAGCATACACCCAAACCTTTTTGTAGCTGTCAAGGCCTCTATGCTAAACCCCTTCGGCGGCCATGTCGTTTTTCGGGCACGAGTTGCAGGACCATCAATTTTCGCCAGTGGCAATTAGCCTGCTACAAACGGCCTATCCTTTGGTCATTGCCGCTCGGCGAGATTTGCGAGACTTCCGGGCGAGTAACCCTAAACCCTAAACCCTGAGACCCTAAAGCCCTACACGAGACTTGAACGCTTAAGACTTGCCGTCCCACCCCGTCCCCTTTAGAACTCGAGGACTCTTGATCCCATGCAGCGGCTGCTCCATTCCTCGACACCACCCGTCTGAATCATTCACCCCCCGTACTTGGGCGCCGTAAACCCTCATCACACTGAACCCTAACCCCCCATAAACCCTAAACCCTAACCCCCTAAACCCTCTAAACTCCCATCTCTACGAAGCCAAAAGCCCTAAACCCTGATCCTCCAGAGACTCGAATGCTTCTAGGACCCTACGCCCACCTAAACCCCATGTCACATGTGCTGGACCGTGCATTCGCACGAATTGCCGCACATCCTCAAACATGATAGAAACACACCTGCGCCGCGACACCACGTAAATCTAAAGCCACCCAGAAGATGTCACACACGCGTGAAGCCCCCAACAAAACGGCTATCACCGCGTTTTCCAAGACATATCCTGGAGCCTTAAAAAAGCCTCAAGAACCACCATGAACAGTAGGCCTGCAATCCTAAAGCCTCAACCTAAAACACCCCCAGTAGCAGCTACAACCGCTACAGCCCAATACTAAAGTCCAACAATATCCCTTTATCCATACATATCTACTTGTAGAAAGGCTCATACACATGTGCTTGTGCGTTTACACACATATATATATATATACGTATATAAACAGGCAGAAACACTTGTACATACATATATTCACATAGAACCAGCATCATCATCATAATCAGCATCATCATCACTCTATATATACATATATATTTTTGTTTATTAACCTATGTATTCAGTTATTTGTATCTCTGTATATATATATATTATATATATATATATATATTCATTCATATTACACACTACAAACAAGCAGCAGGCCCTCTTCATGAAGTTCACGGAGCGGCTCGCCAAGCCGTTGGGTCGGCCCCAGGCCCGCTGAAAGTGGGTTGAGCGGACTTGGGGTTGGCTTGAAAGGGCTTGGGGGTTTAGGGTTTTAGGGTTTAGGGGTTTGGGGGTTTAGGGTTTAAGGGGTGTAGGGTTTAGGGGTTTAGGGTTTTAGGGTTTTAGGGTTTTAGGGCTTATATAGGGTCTAGGGTTTACCGGGGTTCAGGGGTTTAACGGTTCAGGGGTTCAGGGGCTTTGGGGTTTAGGGGTTAGGGGCTTATGGTTTATAGGTCACTGTTAAGTTTAGGGTTTCGGCTCTGGGGAGAAATTGCAGGGAGCTTTTGTGTGTCGTAGTTTAGGGATGAGGGGCACTTGAGTTTTTGTTGGGGTTTCCGAAAGGTACACGTTTTGATGGCGTCTGGGGTCTAGGGTTGAGAGGGCGGTGTCTGGGGACTTCGATTGTTTTTTTGTTTGACTTAATGGTGTAGGGCACTCCGAATGTTTAGATTTTCGGTACTGTAGGGATGTTACTGTAGGGATGTAGGGTTTGAAATTTGGGTCATGCCGAATTTAGGATTTGGCTGAGGCTTCAGAAGGTTCTCGGGCTTTTCCCGAATTTAGACTGTTTCGTGGTTTTCGGGGTCGGGCGCAGGTTCAGGAGTTCAGGGCTTACTGTGTAGCGTAGGGCTCAGATTATGGTTTCATGCGCAGGGGGCACGGGGCATGGGGTTGCAGGGTTTGGGGAGTGATGTAGGGCTTTTAGGGTTTACTGTTTGAGGGTTCAGGATGTAGGGCTGTGTAACTTGTTGCCCCCTCTCATAGCATTACAGGTAAGATTGATGTTGACTTCTGTGAACTTAACATTTCGAGCACTGGCGGATCCCGAAACTTCGAAAGACAAGCCTCTATCCCACTCAGGTACCAAAAGTGGATTCCTGAACTAGTTTGAACTGAACCGAAGAAGATGGATTGTCTTAGTCGTTCTTGGGCTGGACGACTCTGCATCGTCCTTGCTCTTGGTAGCACACTTGCGATGACGCATCATCATGCTCGTCATCATCTTTTCTGCTTCCTCATCGTCAGCATTATACGCCGCACCACCATCACCATCACCATAATCGAAGCAGCCACTGCTATTTCCGCTTGATGTTGAATCCGGTTCCCAACTCTCTGCAACCCCAGAGTCTGGACCCTTGACCCTAAATCCCCAACCCTCGCACAAAAGAGTAAGCCCTGAGACGAAAGACACTCCTACGTAGACGCAGAACACTTTAAGTGTGTGTGTACTAAAGATTGGGAGGCGCAGCCCGTCAACCAGCCATCGATCCGCCGCAATTACCCGTTATTACCTGACCGTAGAAGGACCAGTTTAAGGTTTGGGTTTAGGGTTTAGGGTTTACGATGCTGACAAGAGAGTCCGAGAGGTCCGGGGAAGCATGAACAGAATCAGCAATTGCAACGACCAAAAGAGCTTCAACAACCTAGACCATATACCGTTAAATATACCTCAACCCCCAGGCCTAAACACCTAAATCCTTAAGTCCAATTTAAAAGCCCGGAACCCTGGAACCCTAAACCCCATGGTAGACTCTTACACCCTATAAACCCTTAACCCTTAAACCCCAACCCCCAAGTCCTAAAGCTCTGAACTCTGAACTCATAATTGTGTAGTTCTCTAAATGATGGCCCCTTTCTGGGCCCCCTAAACCCTAAACCCTAAACCCTAAACGACAGCACCCTTATAAACATGAGCTCCGAAAGGGACCCTGCTTTGGAGAAGCACCCAACTGCTCTGTGATCGAAACCCTCAGCCGTCAAGCCTATCAACCCTAAACCCTCCAAACCCTAAACCCAAAACGTTATAAACCCTAGACCCTCTAAACCCGAAGCCCAAAACCCTATGAAACCCTAAACCCTCTAAACTCCAAGCCCTAAACAGGCGTCCCTGAGCTTCTTCAGCGCCAACGTCCTCTGCCTGTTCTTGCTCGGGGAGGCTCACTTATAGTATGAGGGGCCTGACTAGTCGGAATAGGGATCTGCGGTATATAAACTTCTAGGTATGATATAGGGAGGGGCCTGAATGCTGGAGATAGGGTTTGGGGGGTATATACCAGTTTTATACATAATAAGGAACCCTAAGGAATCATGTTGGTAGTTCTTTGGGCATCTGTGTTGGAGGACCAAAGGACTTAGCAAGGAGGGTTTTTATCTGAAGCAACTATAATGACATTACTCTCCATCCTTCTTGCTTAAGGTTTCCGCACCGAAGATATAAGCAGAGTGCGGGTTGAGCCCTTTCGGAGGATATCGGGGTTGGGGTTTAGTGTTAATGGTTGAGATAGTAGTTCTGCACAGGGGCTTTTGTACTGTGGTTCAGCTACCAGCTGTTGGGGCAAATGCTTTTGTTTAGGGTTCAGGGGTTGAAGGGGTTGCGAGCTTAGTCTGCACTTCAAATCCTGGCACCGCTTGGAGTTTTGGGTACTAGATTTGCAGACATACAGTTTCAGCAACTAAAAGACCCTACCGTTCAGGCGGTCCTCCTCCTCTAGGGCACAAGGCTTATAGAGCTTCTGGGTGTAGGGGTTATTGTTTATACAGGCTTCAGGATTGACATCGCTATCCTCATGGCAGTGCCGAACTCGTGCGATTTGCCGTTTGCTGCAATGCAGGTGACCTGGCTGCCGTTTCTCCTGGTGATCTTCATGGTAAGAGGGGGCTTCGCGAACAGCACCTTCCCCATTGACAGGTCGATTCTGATGGACTACACTCCGTCCACACAGCGAGGCGTCGAGAGTGTTTTCGATGCGAATCACGTTAACTAATCGTCCACATAGACATACTGTGTCTAAACTCGAAGCTGCAAGATTTCAGGGCTACAGCTACAAACCATAAATGCTGTACCCTTAATCCTAAACCCACAACGGGGATTCAGAATCCATACTAGATCTTCGCGTCTTTATTAGGGTCCAGGTTCTTTGAAATTCCCCCTGCACCTTACACGCTAAAAGGTCGCATTGTCCCAGGCATGTGGAATGCGATCCAGAGCCTCACTTCGATGACTTGGAGTGGAAGCGCATTTCTGGGTGGGCTGCTGTCCGATTCTCACGACTACAGGCGCACCGGTGGTTTGGGGTCTAGAGTTCAGGGTTTAGGGTTTAGGGTTTGGGGGGGTTAAAGAAGTCGAGAAGGCATGATAAGGATTTCTGTAAGAACTCCATGAGCATTTCATGAGAGTTCGATTAAGCGCGGCATCTCCTCAGTAGCCCTAGGCAGAGATTCTCCACATGCTGGCGTTGCTGGAAATACTCAGCTCGCCGAAAAAGGTTTATAGAACCCTCATAGTACACGTAGCCTTAGTAACATAGCATGTCAAAATTATGGTTCCTTGTTGGGTCCTTATTATAATACGGCACCTATTATTTAGGGTACCCCAAAACGGACCATAATTTTGACAACTACCCATAGAAACCTTTGTACACTCAAGGAAACCCTCATTATAATTGCTTCTGTCACGGCTCTTCAACTGATAATCACCTTGCCAGACCTTAATCCCAGAACCTGAAGCCAACCCCTAAACCCTAAACCCTAAAACCTACACCCTGAAGCCTAAAATCTGAAAACCTAAACCCTAAAGCCCAAACCCTAAAGCCTGAAGAAGTTAACGTATGAAATCCTAGCCCTGGACCTCTATGACCCTCCTCAGAAGTCCATGTAGACCTAATGCAAACTCATGTAACCTACAAATCCCTTGCCAAAACTAACGACCCCCAAAATCCCTAAACTCAAAGCCTAAACCATTTCCAAACAGATACACCTTCGTCATCACCAGCCTGATCTACGCGTGTGCCTGCGTCGTCTACACGCCGCTCCTGTGGCTCGTGCCCAGAAAAGAGAAGGACTGGCTGAGCGGCTGTTAAAAGGGGGTCCTTCAAGGGATCTATATGGGTTTTCTTGAGGGATCTTGATGGGTCTTCCTTTGAAGGGATCTATATGGGTTCTTTCAAGAGTTCCTGTTGCGGTTCTTCTAAGGGGCTCACAAGGCTATATACAAGCAAGGATTAGGGGCTCTTTGCGCACGACAAAAGCATGGGGTAGGGATGATTGGTGCTGTGACTTCCCATCCTCTACGTACCTCCATGGCTTCGTTCTATCGAATCCGTATAATCGGTGACCTTGCCCCAGGTAAGTGTGGGGATGTAAGCGTGCAGATGTGGCTGCTTTGAGTGTTTTCATTTAGCATTCAGGGCTCTAGACGCTAAGGACCCTGACTCCTAAGCCCTAAAACCCTAAGCCCTAAACTCTAAACCCTGAAGCCCTAGTTAGGGACCTGCCGAGTCTTGGGTTCAGCGGAGTGCAGGATGCGGCATCGGTCCGAAGCTGAGTCTGCTGTGTAGTGTACAGGAAGTATGTAGGCAGCATGAAAAGCACTTCGCATAGCGAAGTTCATAACACTATGTTTAGACATGTTTGGCATACAGGGACTGATGGCAAGTATTCTATGTAGCCAGAGGAGTTATTGCTATGTAGTCTGCACATAAGACAAAGGCGGACGTGGCTTCCAGCCCGCTGTAAGACCGGTGAGTCCCGCAGATTGAGGGGTGTGAATGGGGCGCTGGGCGATTCAGCGCCCTTCGGATGCACGTTGCTGTGATGCACAGAGTGGGCTGTACAGCAAGTCCGAATCGGATCCGAATCTGGATATGTCTTCAAGCCCTCAAGCGGGAAACCAAACACCCTGAGCCGTCGGAGCCGCTCGAAACCCTCCTAAACACCAGACCACGTCTTGTAAACCTTGAGCTAAGAGGGAGTGTATTCCCTTCAATGAGCACTACCTTTCAACAACTCCTGGCTTGGAAAGCCCAGCCCTAGGCCCTAACTCCCCAAAGTCGAATCCCTTGGCCCTCAATTCCGAAAGCGCTTGCGACATCTCCAGTTTCGGTGCGGCAGGGAGGTTTGCGCCTGACCGAACAACCACGGTCAGGTGATTCTTGACATGTGCTCCCGCAGTGGAGCGGACAACCTGATCTCATTTAAGAGGCAGCAGCTGTAACCTTGTGTCTTTGGCGTTTGCTTCAGCAGACTGGGCGCTCCATCTCTGCTTGTTTCCAAGCCGCAAGCAAGCAGCAAACGCGTGCCGTGGTGGAGCCATGGCTTAGAGTTTTCGGGTCTCGGGTCAAGGACTTGAGACATGTTTAACATCCTTTGATGAGTCAACTCCTATATAGTCCGCAAGGGCTCTGACCATGGGATCCTGCCACGTGTACAGCCGCTAAAAGGCTAGCCCGTATTGCTGCAGGGCGGGTGTATTCCGCAAAACCTGTTGTACTTTTTAGGAGTGTTTAGAGTTTTTGATCTTTTTGCATCCTAAAGTAGCCCCTGGTCCTGTTTGTTGCTGATGGTGTTCAGGGCGTAATGCTTGCGATCGACGTCAGGTCATCTGCAGCTCGTGTCTACGATCTGTTCAAGTGCTTTCTCATGGAAATTTGCGGTTTGGGATTTGAGGGTGCAGCGTTCCGAGAGTGGTTTTTAAAGCTTAACCCTAAACACTGAAGTCCCCAAGCCCCCACAACATTGAAAGGTGTTGTGTGTGTTGGTGAGCACTTGAACATAGGGTTATTGCGAGGGTCTCACGTGGTTCGATACGGTTTGCATCAGGTTTGATAAGGCATGGTTCTGTACGAGTCTTGAACGAGTGTTCTATTGGTGGTTTTCTTCAAATCGGGGCCTCACAATTTCCATGTTTTCTATATTCAGAATCTTGCTACGTGCGTTCCATGTCGGGCGTCACTTGTCCCATTGACCTCCAACCGAGAAGTTTCATGTTTGCCAGGTCCTAGAGTAGGAACCGTGTGGAGCAATACTTTTGTTCCTGAAAGAAAAGCTGGCTCGACCATGGAAGCCGCTGTCAGGCAGGCCGCACGCGGACAAAAAAGCGTAGTAGAGCGTCATGTGAACGGCAGTCGATGGTGATCGCTTCTGTTTATGCGAGCACAAGGCAGTCATTTTAAGTATAGCCCTGCTTACTTTGTCCCCTGATCTGCTCAGTTGGACCCAGGATGGAACAGCCGGCCAGAATTCGGGAACAGGCGGGTTTAGGTTCATAGGCTTTAGAGGGCGCGAGTTTTTTTGGTTCAGAGCAATCAGAGGCATGGGCTGGTCATGCTTGAACTGGTATGATGACCAATAACATCTTTCTCAGGCGCACTTGTGACCAGAGTTGCTCTCGGTTTAAAGGTTTGTCCTTAAGATTCCTTCAGTAAAAGTTGGTTCTGAGATTTAGTCGTGGGTTTAGGCCGCTTGCCCCTGGCGTTGCGGGCGCTCATTTTGTTGCCTGGGTCTTGGAGAGTCTAAGACCCGGTGTTCAGCCTCAAACATCTCCCCGCCGAGAGTCCTAGCTGATTTTATTCTTTGCTCCGTCATGCTACGAAATGCGAGGTGCATAGTCATCATGATCTGCTGTTCGGGACGAATGTAGGGGCCTCTTAATTAGAAAAGGGCTCTGGGGTATCTTATACTAGACATTTATAGTCGCATATTGGCAACTATGTAGGCCCTTATAGTATCCTCCTCGTTCGACGTTTCTATGTTTCAGGTGCTGTTGGGCTTGAGAGTTCTGACCCTCAGGGGGTCCAGGAGATCAGAAATTTCATGCCGGGGGCTTGCGAGGGGCTTCCCAAGCACTAGACCCTAAAACTGAGGCCCTGAAGCCATTAACCCCGAGGCTTCATGTACTTTTTTTTTTTAATGCGGGTTATGGTGTGAGTTGGATGTTTGAGCGCATAAGGCAGGGACAATGTGTGAGAAGCCCTGTGGGGTGGATAGAGGGCCGCTTGGAATCTTGGATGGTATTGGTAAACTGTACTTGAGGTGTCTTTCTGGAGATGCTAGTAGAGCGCTGTCTTCGCATGCATCCGTGCTTAAGACAACCGAGAACGGTTGGGCCGTCTGCGAATGGTGTAATATAGGGGCCCTAATAATTAGACTAGGGTTTGGGGGTATAGTATGTTAAATACAGAAGGAACCCCCAAAACCCTATTCTAACTATTACGGCCCCTACACTAGGGCTGCCAGGGTCATAGCCTTTCGTAGTGAGGGTTTGGAGTGGTTGTAGAATCCCTAAACCCTACACCCTAAACCCTCTTAGAAGCAAGGTGCACGATGCAGTGTACACAGTGTAGAACTTGCACCATGAGACCCTCAACCGAAAATTTTTTGGTCTCATGACAGGATCCTGAAGACGGATATGGAAGGGTCCTCGAGATGCTTAGGTAGTTCTAGTGAACCCAAAGGAGTAATAAGGAGAACTTTGGACTACTAGCCCATGCATCCCTCTTGGACCCCCCCCCCTTTAAGGCTAAGTTGAGAAGCGCTTGATAGATCTGAACCCTTCAAGTCGCGGGCTTTTGGTTAACCATATGTGGGCGGAATAATTTTGTGATAATGGGCCCTTGTAGTCCCTAGAAGCCTTATTTTCTGCAGCTGTTAAGGCCCTATATTAGGCAGAAGTGCAACCTTCATGCCTAGAATCAAAAGACCCTTGTCCCTGTATCCCTAATCCCAAGTTTGTTCAGTCTAAGCTCTTGGCAGGCACAAACGCGACAACCGCGCAAACTGTTCAGCTAGCCAAGACGCCGCTTGGTGAACCGTTTTTTGTGATTATGGTCGTCGTGGTGAAACCTGAAGCTCTCGGGCGAAACGGAGTCTCGGGTTTAGGGGGTTATGCGTGGTTTACGGCTTTCGGTCTGGGTTTGGAGTTTTTGTGGTTCTGGGGTTGGGGCTTGAGGGTTGAGGATTTTGTATTCATGTTCTGTCGTTGCTTCATGGGTTGAAGAGCGCAGGGTTTAGGTCAGGACATGTGTGGGTCAGCAGTAAACACCCCCTCAAGCACTTAACTCCATCCCGCCTACCATAACAAGACCCTCGACCCTAAACCCTAAATCCGAGGCAGCACGCCGTCGTTGAAGCTTGGCAAGCAAGCCATGGCTTGGAAGCATCATTTCGGATCTACAGGAATATAGGGGCCTACCTATCTACCATCATTATTTTTCCATTCCCCATCATCGTATAATATACCCCAAAACCCTATTCTAATTGTAGTATAGTATACCCCACAAACCTATTCTAATTGTAGTATAATCCCCCCCAAAACCCTATTCTACTTGTAGTATAATGTACCCCAAAACCCTATTCTAATTATTAAGGCCCATACATTACACCCGGAATCTAAACCCCATACGTCCTATGCCTGTTCCTAAAATTCTCGGAGGGCCTGAGGCGCTGGTAGTACCAGAAACAACAGTGCATGTAGTTTTGGGTAGGGTGTAGGGTTTATAGAGTTTAGGGTGTAGGGTTTAGGAGTAGTCGCGGTTGCACTGGTTGCGGTGCGGTGGTAGTAGTCGTCGTCGTCGTAGCTTAGCAGTAGCTCAGCAAGAGGACTTGTAGCAACGGAAGAAGCTTCAAACGGGCTCGCCTGTGCGGAGCTCTGCGTGACTCCTCAGTCTTTCCGGACCTGAATTCTTACTGCCCTACAGCAATCCAAGGCAAGCCAGACCCTAAACCTCAAACTCTAAACCCTACACCCTTAAACCCTACACCCTTCAACCCTAAACCTCTAAACCCTAAACCTCCAAATTTCTTCAAGCAAGTTTCTTCATCCCGGATGCCGAGTCTCGAAAGACGTCCGGAGCCTAATTAGCCCCAAGAAAGAGTGCCCAGCATGCAGCCGAGCTGAGGATTCTGGAACTTCGATGCTGGTCGGTCCCAAAGCAGAGGCGGTTTGAGGGTTTAGGGTTCAGGGTTTAGGGTTTAGGGTTCAGGGTTTAGGGTTCAGGGTGTAGGGTTTAGGGTGCAGGGTTTCAGGGGCTTGTGGATGTAGGGTTAGGGGGCCTTGGGCTTCGGGGTTTAGAGGTTTTCTCGGCATTCGATGCTGCGGGATGGTCATGGCATTGACAGCCATAGCCCATGGTAATTACAAGCATAGTCAGTCACAGTGTGTGTGGGGGGTGGGGTTGTTTGTAAACCAGCGAGCATCGAACCAGGATGGCAGATGATCGCTGGTTTGAGCGAAGCCGTGAAGATGAATACGGGTGTGCAGATTCCCTAACTAGTAAGGCTGAGTGAGGTGGATGTTGACAATTGCGAGGATGAGGACCGACAGTTCACGGCAAAAAGCAATGTTAGTTTTAACAGTTCGATGAAGATCAAAGCTCGTGACTGTGAAACTGAAGATGATGACGCAGGCCGTGAAGGACCGGAATAGCAAGTAACAGAGTGAGTTCATCTGGCTTCTTGGAAGCTTCACTGTCAGGCTCGACTGGGGCCACATGTTCGAACTCGTTCTGCGCGACTGCTGTGTTCTAACCCCAAACTCTGCACGCCCTAAACCGTAAACCCTAAAGCATCATAAAACCCTAACCCTGAACCCTACACCCTCAAGCCCCAAATGCGAAGCGGCCTTCCTCTCTCCACTCCCAAGCAAGATGCTCTTGATGCACGGGGCTGACTCACTGCACTGCCAGTAAGGTAGCCCCCGCGAGCCGCCAGCCTAGCCGGTTTAGGGTTTAGGGTTTAGGGTTTAGGGTTTAGGGGTTTAGGGTTTAGGGGTTGAGGGATTAGGGGTGCAAGCCTCAAGTTTCGAAAACTCCCAGGCTTGCACTCTTATAACGCCCTACGAGCGCACACGCAACCCTAAACCTTGAACAAGCCAAGAAAGCCTTGATGTAGGAGCCGTAATAATTAGAATAGGGTTTTGGGAGTTGTAGTATAAACTACCCCCAAACCCTACTCTAATTCCCTAACCCCCCAGGTACCTACTATATAGAGTACTAGAGCCCCTAAGGCCCTATATAGTAGGTACCTGGGGGGTTAGGGATTATTAACCCTAAACCACCCAATCCATCGAGTCCGGGACCCCCGAAGCTCTTGAGGTCCATGCCGTGGCGACTTTGTTGGGCGCCATGGCTTTCGACCATCTCTGGGCCGCCTGGCTTTTCCGATCTCGTAAGGTTCTTCGTGACAAATATTTTTTGTAAGGGTTCTAGCAGGGTTTCCACAATTTTACAGGGGTCTTCATGTGTGAAAAGACGGTTTCTATAACACTTTTCTTCTGGGAGTTTAGAATGTTTGAGATGAGGTTTAGGATTGAGGATTCTATGTACAGTGTTTCAGTGTGTGGAGTGGAGGACTGAGAGTGTAAGACTAAGCTTCGGCGTCTAGCGTTTAGGATGTTGGGAATGGTGTTTAGGAGGTTTTCGTAGGGTGCAGGTTTTGCTTACTTTTAATTTGGGAGGTGCGACTTTAGATTGGGGTTCATAGTTCATAGTTGTGTACCTAGCCTAGCTGAAACCACAACTCAGGCCAAATGTCGAAAACGCATAGTGTGGAGTAAACCCTAAACCAACATCTTCGACTACTTGCCGCCAGGTTATCTACTTGCGCGGTACGTAAGCCGAAAGCATGAGTTGCACGGCCTGAAGTTTGCTGGATTTCCCCAATCATGAAATCCTGAAGCCCCAAACCCCTCAACCGCAAGGCCCTACCCCCAAACCCTAAAGCCTGAACCGCTAAACCCCAAACCCCTCAACCCTAAACCCTCGCAAAAATATCCTTAAACCCTAAACCCTGAGCCCCTAAACCCCAATCCTCCCCAAACCCGAAACCCTAAAAACCCAAAGCCCCAAACCCTACCCCAAACCCAAAACCCCCAAAACCCTAAAAACCCTAAGCCCTAAAGACCCCATAAGCACGGGATAACCATCTCTCACCGGACCTAAAGATCAAGTCTCCGTGTTGAGACACGAGCTTCTGAATTCTTGAGCTTTAGGGCTTAGGGCTTGAGTTAAGGTTTATATAGGGTTGAGGGCTTTACTTACGGCTTATATTATAGGGTCTAGGGCTTTAGCTAGGGTTTAATCAGGGTTTAGGGTTTAGGGTTTAGGGAACTTGAGCCTTTATAAAGGGCTTTAGGGTTTAGGGTTCAGGCTTAGGGTTTAGGGTTTAGGGGTTCGGAGCCGATGTGCCATGCCTCCGGTAGTTTCCTGTGTGCACCAGGGTTTAGAGTTAGGGTTTAGGGTTTAGGGTTTAGGGTTTAGGGTTTAGGGTTTAGGAGCTCAGCCGACACCCAGAACCTAAACCCGAAGCTTTTAGAGACCCTAAACCAGAACTCCAGGTTGCTGTACATCCTGACTCCTAAAAGCTCACGTTGAAATCTAAACCGGAACCTCCAAAGCCCGAACCCCAAGCACCTCCGGCCCCCCCACCCCCCCCAAAGCCTTAAAACCCTGAACCCTAATAGTCCCAAAACAAGACCAAGCCCCAACAAACCCTACGCCAAAGGTCCTGGACTGTTCCGGCTCCCTTCCCCGGCTGACCTTCGTCATTGATGGGAAGGCACATGGTCTTGTCTCACCGTCGATGGTTTAGGATCTACATGATGGAGGGTTTTGGGAGAACGGTTGAGAGTTCATGCGGTTTTGGGTTTTGGGCTCATAGTTTTAATTGTGTTTCTGGCATCGGATGTTGACTGACTTTGGCTTTTTTTTGGCTCAAGATCCACAAGCTTTCACTCCACAAGCGCAAACCGTGGAACCCGAACCTACAGCCTTTGGCTTATAACTTCGGTGGCGCAACTCTGCCCAATTCTGAATTCCTAACCCAGATAAGTTGCCCAGGGAGAGACGTAAGGCAGCAGAAGCCGCCCCGCAAGCTACGGCCCAACATGCGGACTTCATGATCATCGTGCCAGCAGCTTTGAAACTGGCACTGGTCCTTCTGGATGTGAGATAGGTACCAGCACTTACATTTTAACCTCAGCCCTAAGCACTAAACTTCACTGAACTGGGCCCCGAGTCCGAAACACTAAAGCTAAACCCTATACCCCAAACTAGTAAAAGCCTCAACCCAAAACCCTGTGCCTTGCACGCTAAACGAAAACCTTAAGCCCGAAAGAGCTGCGGTGTAAGTAGTTGTATGGTTGTCAGGTGTGAAGTAAACGGTGTGGCAGACCATGCCTCAGCCAACAGTGGCGTTCGACCTAACTAACCCAGGCAGGTGGAAAAGAGGCGACAACAAAAAACCTAAAACCTATAAGCCCTAAACCCTACAAGCCCTAAACCATAAAACCCTAAACCCTTAAACCCTACACCCCTAAACCCTAGAGCTGCGACTCATGGCCCCATTGCACGCAGGATTACGAGCTGACGGGAGAGGACCTGATCATGGAGAGGCAAGACAACCTATGCTTGCTGGGCGGCCCGTCTGCAGCTACTGCTGATAATATAAATGCTGTATTACCTTAAGGACCCTAAACTATGGGAATTATGGTCTACTTCTTATTATGGGTAATGCAAGGTTTAGATCATCAACCATAGGACTAGGGTTTAGGTTTAGGGTTAAGGCTTTCAGTAATTTCTGGCTTAAGGTTAATTGAGGCTTTTGGGATTCAGTGTTTGGTGGCTAGCCGACACGCACCCAACGCCATCACTTTGGATCCCGGAACCCTATGAACTTATGAAGGCTGCACCTCGAACCCCGAAACCCTAGGCTTCCAACCCTACCGCCGTAATGCTTATACTAGAGGGGCCATAGTACTTAGAATTGGGTTTTGGGGGGTTCCTTATTATAATTACAGCAGAATAGACCCCCAAACCCTTTTCTAATTATTGCGGCCCCTATACTACACCCGACGCCACCCAAAAAAGAGCCAAGCTCTAGTCAAAGGCAGCTTCGCTCTGTCTGGGAAATCGGATTCGCCTGAGGTCTCCAGGCGAACGATGGCCGTAGCCTGAGCGGACATTTGTGCTTGGGAGGGTTTGTGGTTTGCGCTTACGATGATGACCCTAAGTGTGGGAGTCTCACTGTGTGTCTGTGTCCGTGTTGTGCGTGTGTATGAATCTATGTGCATCTGTAGATATATATATATATATATAGACATATATCTTTCGTAATTATAGTTAGCCGTACCTGTCTCATGTCGTGCTGTCGGCGACTGCTGAGGATTTACTCCGCACTGGGTGTTGGGCAACGTGCCTCGATTGCAGACAGCTCCGCCTACCTTGGGGAACCCTGGCCATTCAACTCGACTTTTCATGTTTAAACTCCCCGAAATCTCAACCTTCGAGCCACAATATGGGGGCCCTAATGGGCTTTGGGGGTGTACCATACTTATACTAAGGGGCCTCAAAACAGCGTTGGTCCTTAAGCATAAAATGGTAAGCCCTAAGCCCTAAATCCTAAGCCCAAAACAGCAAAAAAAGCCCCAAACCAAGTGAAAAGCGTCAAAGCCACTCTAAACCCTAAACCCTAAACCCTAAACCCTAAACCCTGAACCCTAAACCCTAAACCCTAAACCCTATACCCTAAACCCCTGACTCCTAGCCCCAAGTCCTCCAAACTCCGAGCCCTGGGCCCTAGACTCTTCTAGAATCGGCCCAGCCCACTTCTGTCTGGTGCTTAGTAGGGAATGGGGGAATGGGTTATAGGGACTACTATACGGAACCTTACGGGAGTATCATAGGGATCCATTCCCCCATTCCCTACTAAGCACCAGACAGACTTTAGGTCTTCATGCGAAAGTTCTACGTGCAGTTCGACTATGGACAGCGACGTATCGGCTTCGCGAAGGCCTCCCGACCTGTGCGCCTCGCATCTTGGAAAGCAAAGATTTGAGCCCGGGTTGAGCAGTAGAAGGAGGAGGAGGAGGAGCAGGGGAAGTAGTGGTAGTAGTCGTCGTAGTAGTAGTAGTAGTAGTAGTAGTAGTAGCAGTAGTAGTAGTAGTAGTAGTAGTAGAAGTAGTAGTAGTAGTAGTAGTAGTAGTAGTAGTAGTAGTAGTAGCGACTGCCTATGCCACGGCTGCTGCCACGGCTACTGCTACTGCTACTGCTACTGCTGCTGCTACTGCTACTGCTACTGCTACTGCTACTGCTACTGCTACTGCTACTGCTACTGCTACTGCTACTGCTACTGCGGGTACTAATAATAATAGCAATAGTTAGAACTGGGTTTAGAGGCACATGACATAGTAGTTATAATATGGAACACCAACACGGTTTTGGTAATTATCTAGGCCCCCATATTTGGCATCGGGGCTTCAGGCATTCGGGGTTTGGAGTTTGGAGTTTCGTTCGGGCTTTTTGATCTGGGGTGCTAGGGTTTCGGAGTTGGGGCTTTGAAGTTGCCAGTTCGAGGGTGCGCGGGCTCCCAACATCTTGACTTCGGGTGCGGGTTCTCGTGGTTGACTGCATTGGAGGAGCGAGCATGGTTGGTTTTGTAGTGATGATGGCCTCAAAGGGCCGCAACTGTCACTCAACTTCTGAGGCTTTTGCGGTAGCTTAGCAATGATCTCGACTAGATGTTAGTTTAACATGTGTTTACTTGGAATCACCTGTAACAGGAGCTCGACCTTAACCTAAGACGGAGGTAAATCCGGACAACCCTACCCCTTAAACCCCCTGTCTACAAGTCTTCTCAACCTCGATAAACCCAGCACCAAAAAACCCATGATGCCCTTAAACTGGCCCTTAAACCCCAAACCGAAACCCTAAACCGTAGGCCTACGGCCTGAATCCGGACAGCGGCAAAACCCCGAGGTTTGAATCCGCTTGGGCCAGTGTGCCCATTCTCCGTTCTCGGCAATCGAAGCTCACAGCTCATGCTCCGAGCTGAGTACCCTAAACCCTAAACCCTAAATCCCTAGACCCCAAACCCCGAGCTGAGTTTGGTTTCATCATGGCCTTCTACAGGTCTCTATAAGGGCTCCGCCCCTGAAGGGATTCTACAAGGTTACTGTAAGGGTTCGGTTTCAGAGTTGAGGGTTAATAGTTCTGAGAGATTCAGGTTTTGGTTGTTGTCTGTCTTTTTTATTGAAGGTTTCTGCGTTCCGTGAATCAAGAGTGGGTGTGTACGGTTCAAGGTTAAGGAATTAAGGGTTTTTGTTGGGTCCCTTTAGATAGAATGCATAACGTTTACCTCTATGCATAACTCGCATACAGATACATACCGGCACATAAGTGTGTATGAGTATATATGATATTTGTATGAGATGTATGTATACATGCATGCATGTATGCATGTATGTACGTATGTATGTATGCGTAGGTTGTGTAAAGATTGGTTCTGTGTGAGCAGAAAGTAATTTCTGCAACCACAGATGTATACTCAATTCCATTACTTCCAGTTGCTGTTTTTCATTTTTTGAGGGTCCTCAACGGAGTTGTCCATTCTGGTTCAACAGTACCATGATGCACTCGTGCAGGTGGCCTCTAAGCTCGAACCCTAGTTCTTTTCGAATTCCGGACAGGGAACATGTCAACGAACTGCACCCTAAAGCCTGAACATGACCCGAAAGATGTACACCCGGCCCTCATCTTAGCGGTTTTGAACCAAGGGCTGCAACTCTGTCCACCGTAGTCCTTGCGTAGCACACCTAAGCCCTGTACCCCAAAACCTTAACCGTAGATCGCCGGATCAATAAACTAAGCCGAAGTCCCTGGTTCTCGACTGCGTTTGCCTTGAAGTCTTGTATGGTATGATAGAGGCTTGTTATGTTTTGATGTAGAAACACTGTAAAGGTATTATTAGATGTTTTGATCTATCAGAAGTAAACTATCGTATACTTGATGCGTCCGCATCTAGGATGGCTGCTAGCGCGTTCCGCATAATGCCAGAAATCGTGGGTTTTTGTTCACGCGACGCGGATCTGGAGGGCAGATGAGGTTTCAGCATTTCATGTCTGGCTTGGAGATTCGCAACCGAGAAAGCACGTAGAGGCTTGTTTTTTCGGATGTGGGGTTGAAGTGTTGATCCTTTTGCTGCCTTTGCTCCCCTTGGACTACAACTCAAGTTGAAACCCCCCGCCCTCCGCAACCCATAACAGAAGCCAGAATCATTACCGATACATATTGTGCCTCAGGGTTCCTTATTATACCCATACTATAAAATACCCCCCCCCCCCTCCCCCCTTAGGCCCTATTCTACCTACTCAGCCCGCTATGAACTATACTTTTTCTTTGCCAACTTCATGGTTCATGTCCTCACCCTAAAACCCCAACTACCCCCACCTCCACAGATTCCCCCCCAAACCAATCAAGGTAGCCAAACAGGGGAACTTTAGGGTTTTCTGCTTTAGTTCAGGGGAACTGCAGTGCACCTCGGGGCCTCATCCCCTGTCAGAGGCACCTCCCGCCTGGAAAGCCTTTGAGAAAAGATATCACCATGTCCTCATAGCCAAGGAGGTGCTTCAGTCTAGAAACCAAAGCTACGTCAGGCGATTCTAGAACACAGTTTTCGTAAATTTCAGTATAGCCTAACATCACTTTTAAAACGGAGCAAGGGTTGTGGTGTGTACATGGCCTGCACGAAGCGCCCTATTTAAACTCCGAGCCATTGTTCTTCCGAGGCCATCGTTCCCGCCATGCCAAGTGCCTACAAGACTCGAATGCAGTTGGCCCTGCAACTTGCGCTCGCAGATGCCTGTACTACATGATACGGTTACTTAGGACTTCAGGGCTTTGCTGAATTGAAGCTTCCGTTTGGGGTGCGGGGGTTCTCTGTAATTAAATCTTTCGCTTGCACGGACCCGTTTGGTTATGGCAAGTTTAGCCGAGTGTTCTCTCAGAGCCGAGTAAGGAGCAGGGCTGGCTGTTGCGCAGATGAAGCCTGTGTTGCGAGGCTTGTCAAAGTTTGCACAGTTTGTTCTGGTTTCCAACTAAAGCCGAGCAGTTCACCTCGATGGGCGCGCACATCCAGACAGAAGTGCTCTATAAGAGCAGGGTATAGGATTTAGGGTTTAGGGTTTAGGTTAAGAACAATAGCTAGAAGCCGTCATATCTCCGCACCAGTGGACCATGCCCTCAAGTCCTAGTCGTCCAAGTGTCTATGACTCACGTTACAACTTAGTCCCATCAAATTTGGGTGGCACTAGATTGGAGGCGTTGACTCCAACTTCGCGAAATCCAAAGGCTGCACAGCAGCACCGCAATTTTTTTCTTTGAGCCCGGCCTAGACCCTAAACCCTAAACCCTCCGTCGTGAGTCCCACAAGTCAGGCACCCGAAGCAGGGAGCCCCAAGTAAGTAAGAGCAGTATAATGATAATAGTCATAGTTTAGGGTTTAGAGTTGAGGGTTTAGGGTTTAGGGTTCAGGGAGTCATATTAATAAGAAGACAAGTTATGATAAAGTCATAATAGTAACAAGAACAAGAATAGCGGTAATACTAAGAATGGTAACAATGAAAATGACAGAATAATTTTCAGAAGAAAAAGCAATAGAGTATGACAATACTAGTACAAAGATAATACGAATGTAATCTTCACCATCGTCATGACAACGACAACAACACTAATAACAGCAATTATGACAATACTAACAAGTAACAGTACCAACAATAATGACAGTTAATACAAATGTTGCATAGTAGAGGGTTTTGGGGTTCTGCACCCTCGTCGAGGTGGCAAAGAGCTTGTTTCTTCGCTGTCCAGTTTCCGCGCTGCGGCAGCTAGCAGGCGGTTTCCACCTCTGGTCCTCTGCTGCAGTTTGGGGTTTTGGGGTTCACGGGTTGCATTCCGCTCGAAAGCAACAGAAATGGGATCCTGAAACGACGCCCCTCGTTTAGAACAGAAGCTTGAGATACTGCAAATGCTGTAAACAGGCCCCATGTCATCCTAGGCAGAGGAGCCGTGAAGAAAGAAACCGTAAGCCAGCGTCGCATACACCCAACACCTCGAATCGGCGTCAAAACCCCCACACATGAATCCTACAGCTCAGAAGTAACAGGCAGGTACTTGTTTGGATCCACTTTATGCGAGCATTCCGATGTAATATCGCCTTGGTTTGGATTCAGACTCGTGAAAGCACCGCCGGAGAACACGAAGCCTGCCTGTGAGCTGCGCCGCATGAGCCATTTCGAAAAGGACAGTTTCAGAACCCTTCAGGGTGTTGCAAGAGTTTAGGGCTTATAAGGGTTAGAGACTATAGTGTCAGCGAACTTACACCGTTCTTCATTGTGTCCTTCATCTTCGGCTTTTCTTCAAGGGTTCGATTTGGCTCACGTTATATCGCGTCTTGAGACGCCAGCCGGCGCAAAAGCTGCAGGAGTACTATAGTAAAGTAGTACTATTTCCACCTGCTCCTGCCACCACTAATACTACGGCTACCACGTAGCAGTAGTAGTAGTAGTAGTAGTAGTAGTAGTAGTAGTAGTAGCAGTAATAGTAGTAGTCGTCGTAGTAGTACTAGTAGTAGTCGTAGTAGTAGTAGTAGTCGTCGTAGTAGTAGTAGTAGTAGTAGTAGTAGTAGTATTACTACTACTACTACGACGACTACTACTACTACTACTACTACTACGACTACTACTACTACTACTACTACTACTACTACTACTACCACGACTACTACTACTACTACGACTACTACGACTACTACGACTACTACGACTACTACGACTACTACGACTACTACGACTACTACGACTACTACTACGATTACGACTACGACGACGACGACGACAACGACGACTACTACTACTAAAACCGTCTTGGCCCCTAGTCCTAGCCCGTCTGCATACCAAGGGAGCATCAGCTACGCTCAACCCCAGCGATGTGGTTGTATCTTTCCCTGCAAGGTTCGCCTCCTGCTTTGCTCAGCAAGCTCTCTAATTACAACATGCAGGAAGGGCGGCTGAATGGATGTGGTGGGACCTGGCCAAACCCGAGCGTCTTGCGAGAACCCGGCTATTTCTGGCGAGGGCATGGACATGTTGTCCTATTCTCTGTTCAACCAGATACGTGCGGAACCCGAACGCAGAACAACCTCCGTTCGGGGCTCAAGGTTGCTGGCTTCGGATTTCAGCTACAGAGCCTTGCTCCCAAATGATTATTACTTATTACCATATTCGGCCATACCTTAAAGCCTAAGCCGGCGATCCGTGGCTCCCTGCTTCTCATCCTTTTGCATCCACTCGCGGAGGCCGACGAGTTCGTTGGGCCTCAGTTTTCGGTCCTCGTCGGCCTCGGCTAGGTCTGGTCTGGAGGCTGGAGGGTCACAAGATCTTCTTCACCGTGGGGTTTGGGGTCCAGCCGTCGGCGGTACTTCGTTCATGGTTCAGGATGAAGGCGTACGGCTAGGTTGAATTTGCTTTTCTGGGGTATGGGTTGCTGTTGATGCTTGTATCGGTTCCGGCGAACGCGGTCTACTTGCATATGTACGTTATCATGTTAGCCTCTAATGCACAGCAGAGGTTCCTGGAGTCTCTGCATTTATGTAAAAACTTGTGGGTCATTCTCGTTTCCGGTGTACGACATTCACCCACGTATGAATTATCACGGGGATTGAGGTCTGAATAGTGTCTGTTCGTGTCGCCTTTGGGATTGTTAATCCAAATAAGATTATCCACGGTGTACCGGTTTGGGGTTACTTGGGTTCCACCTCGTGGGCTTTTGGGCGGGTTGTAGGTCAGAATGTGTCACAGTTGAAGCTGGGTCTTCAAGCCTTAGATGCCTTAGATGCGTTGAAGCTGTCGTCGGTGCTTCCAGACGGCATCGGGTGCAGACTTTTTCAGCTGGTTCAATAGATCCACACACCCCCACGACTTGCTGTT